GCACATTAGAAGAAAAAGTTATAGTGATTAAAAACCAAAACGAAAATTTCAGAAAAAATACCTAAAAACAACCTTACTTCTGCAGACATAATTACGAAAAAAATACGAGAAGTTTATTCACAAAACAGAAAAAATCGAACAATTAAAAATAATAATTGGAATTGAATAAATTTAACAAAGTGTGAACTAAGTTCCGTTTTCTCAAGTAGTTTTTAAAATGTATCTGACCTTCAAACAAATTTTTTTAGAACAAATTTTGTGTTTAAAGGGAAGATAAATTTTAAGAGCTACTTGGGAAAACGGCTCTAAAAGATACAAACAAAATTTTAAGATCTAAAAAAATACTACACGAAAAAAATATTGCAATAAATTTTCGAAATTCAGTTAAGCAAAAAAATATAAAAAGATACAAATAAAATTTTAAGATCTAAAAAAAAACACTACACGAAAAAAATATTGCGGTAAATTTTCGAAATTCAGTTCAGCAAAAAATATAACAATTTAAAGAAATAAAAATTAAAACCAAAATTAAAAATATATAACAAAAATTGTACTTACATAATAAAATAATACAAGAAGCATAAATAAAAATAACTACAAACAAAAATAAATCAAACATTTTAAACTAATTGCGAACTGTGCAAATTAGTTCAAAAATGCTTTGAAACGCGCTAAGCCCATTTGGTTTTTTGGTTAATGTTTACATTAAAGTCTTTTTGACTAGCCAAAACAAAATAACATATAAATATTTTATGGCAGCTAGAGCAGAGTAGACTGCTAAAGAGAATGTGAAAAAAAAACAAAAGCAGTAACTGAAAAATTTTTAATTCTGTATGCGGGGGTCTATTTCCGAATAGATTACTGACTTCTCAATATTTTTTGAGTTATTTCGAAAAAATATGGAATATTTAAGAACATAAAAAGGGTTGAAAGTTTTAAAGCAATAGGAGAAAGATAATGAGAGTTAAAAAAAACACCTGTTTCAGATCCCCGCACACATACATATCGTTACCTTAATATGTATAGAAAGGNAAGCAAATTAGTTCAAAAGTGCTTTGAAACGCGCTAAGCCCATTTGGTTTTTTGGTTAATGTTTACATTAAAGTCTTTTTGACTAGCCAAAACAAAATAACATATAAATATTTTATGGCAGCTAGAGCAGAGTAGACTGCTAAAGAGAATGTGAAAAAAAAACAAAAGCAGTAACTGAAAAATTTTTAATTCTGTATGCGGGGGTCTATTTCCGAATAGATTACTGACTTCTCAATATTTTTTGAGTTATTTCGAAAAAATATGGAATATTTAAGAACATAAAAAGGGTTGAAAGTTTTAAAGCAATAGGAGAAAGATAATGAGAGTTAAAAAAAACACCTGTTTCAGATCCCCGCACACATACATATCGTTACCTTAATATGTATAGAAAGGCCCTATCTAACATTTTAGTTTACTTGCAAGGTGATTAAAAAAACTTAACAAAAGGATAAATTATTCGGATGCCAATTTCTTTAAAATGCTGTTTTTAAACAAGGACTATAATTGAGTTACAGTAATTGTTTTTAAATTCCATTACGTTTTCAGTGATTCATTTATAAACATTTCTACAAAGCTGGATTTTGAAAGAAAATGACAGGGCCTTTCTATTCTAAGTGTGTATGTATATTAAGGTAACGATATTTCCATTTTTTTTTTTTTTTTTTTTTAATGTAGAAAATTTATATTACGGGCATTTATTTTTCTGAAANATTTAAGAACATAAAAAGGGTTGAAAGTTTTAAAGCAATAGGAGAAAGATAATGAGAGTTAAAAAAAAACACCTGTTTCAGATCCCCGCACACATACATATCGTTACCTTAATATGTATAGAAAGGCCCTATCTAACATTTTAGTTTACTTGCAAGGTGATTAAAAAAACTTAACAACAGAATAAATTATTCGGTTGCCAATTTCTTTAAAATGCTGTTTTTAAACGAGGACTATAATTGAGTTATAGTAATTGTTTTTAAATTCCATTACGTTTGCAGTGATTCATTTATAAAGATTTCTACAAAGCTGGATTTTGAAAGAAAATGACAGGGCCTTTCTATTCTAAGTATGTATGTATGTTAAGGTAACGATATTTCCATTTTTTTTTTTTTTTTATATGTAGAAAATTTATATTACGGGCATTTATTTTTCTGAAACGCAGAAAAGAATGTATGTTTTAATAAATCATAAACCGTGCTAACCTCAACAAGGCCTTCAAATGTGATAAGATAGCAAACGCGCACATCTATTTCCGCTTACACGGTTGTCATTTTAGTTGACGAAATTATATTACCGTAATTCAAAATCGGCAAAGAACAAATTAAATGCACACACTTACACGTGTACATATAATGCTATTAAATGCACACATTATTTGTAAAAGATAAAATAAAATAAAAAATTGAGCGGCGGCAGCAAAATATTAGCAGTTTTCGTTTTCTATAAAAGCTACATTAATAATAGATTTCTTTTTGAATATTGTTAATTGCTGAATTAGCAAACCTTTGATCCCCGAAAATATCCTACTACAGTTTATATTAATAATTTTCAGCGCTATGGGAGTACATTTTTTTCGCCGGTACGGTTCATTTGTTGGGATTTTTTTTAGCTTTTTTTAGTAGTAGGTACTGTGTGTGTGTGTGTGTGTGTGTGTGTGTGTTTTTGTTTTTAATAATATTTTTTTACTTCTGACTTATTTCGGATTTATCTTCAAATGTAATAATCTCTACCTTTGTAATCTTCTTGGGATCGGGTGTGCCTGTTTCCAGTACTTCAACCTTCTGATAGACATTTGGCGAGTTGAGCCATCGGCTTCGATCGCCGCCCTTGCGCAAATCGCCCTTCTTCCAAATGCTGCAAATGAAAACAATGCAATTAATGCCCATTTCTCACTCTGCAAATCAATTGTCCTTTCTTCCATACTCTGTCGCTACTCACCCTTGCTTCAAGAGTTCCTCTTCCTCGAGTAGATAACCCAGCGAGCTAACCGCTGGTGGCAGTTCAACATCATTCTTCGGCTTTGGCGGATCCGATTTAATAAGTGGATGGCGATAAATGTAACCCGTACGATAGCCGGCGTTGTCCAGCATGCGCATAAGCGCTTCAAATTCAGCGCCACCCACACGCCACTTGGGTGCGCCACCAGCAACAGCAGCTTTAACAGCGATTGCTCCACTACCATCAGCAGCACCATCAGCAGCGCCTGCGGCCTCAGCAGCATTTGCTTCGACTGTAGCCACAGCAGCTGCAAATTTCTTCTCCAAATCCTCAGGTGGGCGGCGAGCATCTGCAAAAATCGCTTTACGCGATTCCTCTGGTATCAAAACCAAATTGTCTACACCAACTGGCAGTAGTTGTAATTGTGTTTCACATGCCTTAACAATATGGCTGGCAGCAAAGAATGCCTCTTCGATGGTTTCACCACAACACAATGCACCATAATTGCTGAGTATCAACACCTTGGAGTTGGGACCGAGTGCGCGCACCAGTCGATCACGTTCATCGGCATCCATTTGTGTGCCCGTGTATGAGTGTGTGGTTATTTCACCCAAAACGCAAGCGTCGCGTGTCAATGGCAGTAGACCGACCTTTAGCGAAGAGACGGCAACGACGGGTGTGCAGCCAATGTAGATGGCGCAACGGATGTCGGGGCGGGCGGCATGTACCACCGAGTGCAAGGCGAAGTCTGTGGAGGGATGGAAAGAGTTTTGGAGTGAGTTTTTAAGAAGAAAAAACCTGCATATATGCATATTTATGGACTTTAGAAGTGCGAATATGTACATAGATTTTAAATCGTTTTATTCACTGCGCTAAATCTAATTAAATACTTTCAAGGCCTTTTTCTTGCATTTATTCAATTTTTTATTTTCGTTATGACATTCTTCGAGAAAACGCACGATACGTTCAGTGGACATTAATTGACAAAAATGTGTATTGATAAATTTGGGCATTAACAATACCGGAGTCATATTTGTTGAAGCAAAAACAATTAGGGAGTTCACAAGGTGTTGTATACTGTCGTACTGTTGTATGTCATAAACTTTAAACGGCTAAAAATATATTTAAGGAATTCACAAGCTAACATACAAGTTTTATTATGAAATTTCACACCGTTAAAAAATAGTTGGTGGTGATTTCAAACCCTCTAAACATTTATTAAGCTGTTAAAAACTTTACAACATACGACAATACGACACGTACGACACCTTGTGAACCACCCAAATGTTAAACTTAAGTTAAGTTTCCCTTTGTTTGAACCGTAGCAAGTAGATGGTGCTAAAAATATCTCTCTTTTATTATCTCTTTGCTGAGTCACTTGTTATAAATCCGCTTTTTTATCGACAAATTTTGTTCAGCGATGAGGCTCATTTCTGGTTGAATGGCTTCGTAAATAAGCAAAATTGCCGCATTTGGAGTGAAGAGCAACCAGAAGCCGTTCAAGAAC